GCCAGAGGACCTCAGGGCCGTAGAGTGTTCTTGTTTTTAAGGCCAGGCTCAAGACTCACCTTTTTAGTATAGCTTTTAAGTGATTTTGATCTATTTTAGCATGTTTTTACCATCTTTTATATATTCTATCAGTGTTTTATTACTTACTCTTTTTAATTAAATAACAAATATGTTCCTACATATTTATTTTAACTTGTAATAATTATTAGTTTTAACCAGTCTTAAGACTTTGTTGTACAATATTTTATTAATTTAATTATATGTTTTCTACTTGGTTGTATTTTATCACTGTGTTTTATTTAGTTTTTTATTTATCAGCTGTTTATGTTTAATTTGTTTCTTAACTTGTTATCTTAGTCTCATTAGTAAACTAGTGTTTCCTCTGTGGGGGCCGGCTGCCCCAGGGGCAGCGGTGGGCTGTGGTGGCCGGGGTGCTTCCCATGCCTACTCTTGCCAAGGCTATTGCTGCCAATCTTGGTGCTCCCGGTGCAGTTGGCTCCTTTGAAGGCATTTTCATCTTCTTTGTACCTACCACATCTGCACTCAGCCAGCTGCCCTTTCTCTATTATATGTGTGTGTGTGTGTGTGTGTGTGTGGGTGTGTGTGTGTGTGTGTGTGTGTGTGTGTGTGTGTGTGTGTGTGTGTGTGTGTGTGTGTGTGTGCACACGCGCGCGAGTTTGCATCTGCTTGGGATGGGATTGAGGGTGGGAGGAGGGAGATACAAAGGGGATCTCTTATGTGAATCTGTGTGGGAGGGGTGGGAAACTGACTGCTGTCTGGTTGTTTTTAATACTGTAAAGCACTTTGAGCTGCATTTGTACGAAAAGCGTTTCATAAATAAATTTTGATTGATTGATTTATATTTATGCATGTATATTACCATAATTTCAGATGAATATGCATGCAATGTGAAACTTGTGGTAACATTTATAAAATAATGCCACATGAACCACTGTGAAATTTAGGAAAGTGCAGCAGTTTTAGCTAGGCTCAGACGAACTGTTAGCTTATCAGTCTTGTGGGAACTCTACTTCTCTGAACAGAGGCTCTTCACAAAGCTATCTACAATAATTAAATAGAAATTTTTAAAGCTTATCCATAGAAAAACATTCCAAAATTGCCAAATACTTTCTTAAGCCTTAATAGAAAGCCAGTAACAGAAAAGAGTGTTTTTGTTTGACGTCTGAATATAAATCATGAAAGATGGTTGGAGCTGAAATTGGCAGAAGACAAAGAGCGGTGGACAACTGATGGGAATTTTGAAAGAAAAGCCTTAACATGTCAGCATCCCTGGTGTGTTGAAGGACCTGTGGCTGTTTCCTGGACCCAAACATAAGCAAAGCAGGATCCTCTCCTCTACAGCATAAAATCACAGGCTGTAAAGAGGCTGCAAACGCAGCAGGAGGGGTGAAACTAAAGTGTGGCAGAGAGGAAATGGCCATCAGCCTCTCAGGGCGATGCTAAGAGCTGTGCAACATCGTGGTGCATCACAAACCTCGGTCTCGTTCTGCGACTTCGCCACAGTCCCTTTTCACAATCGTAACTCTTTCTTACTGCTGCTGAATCCTTCTTAAAATGTCGTAAACACAGAGAAAAAAAACTATGTTGAGCAGGATTCTGAAGACCGATGCAGACACGCCAGACATTAAATTGCACTTTAAAAAAATCCCACAGAGATGAATGCAGGCGGCTAATTCAACTGATGGCATGTTGCTCTCATTGTGCAAACCCACTTAAATTAAGTACAACTCTTCACGGGTGTCTCATAAAACACGGACTAATCACTTTGGTCAACACTGTGGGGGGATTCATCAGAGGACCCTACACTGTGAACAAACACTGCCTACTAGCTGGCTGTGAGCTCGGGTTTTAAGTGTGGGGTGGAAGAAGCAGAAGGGAACAAACAACATCCTCTGTGATCTATTTTTGTGCCATTAAGGATGCTAATCCATTCGCACAATTTTAATCCTTCAAAAGAACTCCATCGGCACGCTGGCGTTGAGAACGCGCTCAGTGGTGATACCGGGAAAAGCCGACCAATTAGTATGAAGTCAGGAAGGAAGTAGCGAGCTTTGAAAAATTGACCTCTGATGTTGTGCAGGTGGACATATATTTGATAGGAGAACGCTACTCGTTAGCACGGAAGTCGTTTAAAAAAACACTCCCAAGTCAGACTCCAAACTAGAGTCCAACCTCTTGTTAAAGTAATGAATTAAAGCCAGAACTTTCCTGTCAGTGATCACCAGGGTCGTGATTAAGTCCAGCTTCTTTAAATCTGAAACCGTTAGCACATCTTTAATCACTTTAAGTATCAACAACAGCAGAACAAGCTATAAACCATGTTGGCACCTAAAGTCAGTTGCCTGGTTACACGAGCAGCAGATGTGGAGTTACATTGGTATTCATCCAGAGTCAGGCTTGTGTCCAGATAACAAATTAAAGCCCAATACCATCTCTACTTTTTACTCGGTTGGGCCATGCTCAGCGTCGGAAGAAAATAAGAAATGCTACACCACCAGTTAGTTGCTAATTGTGTTGTTCACAAGTGTGGTGCAGGTAGGGCACGGTGAAAGGCAGAATCAACTGTTTTAGCCTGTGCACATTTGACTGTTAGTGAAATATTGCATGAATCTTTGGACTTTTCAATAAATATCTAAGAAAGTCATCATTCGAGGTACATTAAGGCTAATTCAAGATGGCCGCCACAATTAAGCAAAACTTCAGAATGGCTTTAACCCAAACACGTTTACACATGTCAAGCAACTAATCAGAGTTATCAAGATTTCACCCAAAATATCTGCAATTCCATTATTTACCAACACCAGATGATCAGTTTACATCTCTGACATAACCGGAAACATTTCTAAAGAGTTGTATTTGTTTGGGGAGAATGTTTCACCAGGCACATCATGTTCTTTCTTTGTATTTTGGTGTGTAGATAATATCAATGCTATTGCTACTAGGGCCCGAACGATATATCGGCCGGCCGATATTATCGGCCGATACTGGGGTCACTGTCGGCCAAAAAGACAGTCGATATGGCCGATATTGCGCTACCTATCCAGCAGATGGCGCCAGCTTTATGAATTAGGTTTGTGAATGAGTTCACCAAGTTAACTTCCACAGAGTGTTACTTTGTTACAAAGCACAAGTATTACGTTTTATTTATTGCTGCATTTTTATTATTTTAATATTCTTATAGGGATCTTCCGCCCCTAAACTTGTGTGTGTTGTTAGATTCCCCAGAGTTAGCTAAGTCAGAAACAACATGTTGTAATCAGTTGTTTCAGCATAAAGCAATGGAAGGGAAGGCTTGCATTCACCCACATAAGAAAACACTATAATCTATGTGAATTCACTTACATTGTTTTATGCTAAACTAAGAAAACCAACTGCTGCCAGATCCTATTGGGCTGGTTTTAAAATGCTTTTTCTGACTTGTCTAACTCTGGGGAATCTTAACAAGACCCAACTTTACTGAGTGGTGGAATATTCCTTTAAGTTAAAATGTATTTGTGGAAACCACAGTTTATAAGAAAAAACTAGAATGTTAGATTTATGCTGTGACTGAGTTTGTGTGTTCTGTTGTTTTTAAGATCTGCTAAATAAATCTTATTTGCATTACTTGGAAACCCTAGTGAGTTACTGAGACAGTTCTTTGGTGTGTAATAGAGAAATAAGTTTGCATCAAAAAGGCAGAAAGGGTTTAAGCTTAAGAACATTTTTATTTCTTTTTTTGTGAGGGAGATTTATCGGCCATTATATCGGCTATCGGCCTTTGTTAAAACTTTTATATCGGCATCGGTCCCAAAAAAAGCATATCAGTCGGGCCCTAATTGCTACCCATTAGTGCACATAGTATTTGAGCAACTGTGTTGACCATAGAAAAGAAAGGATGAGCATCCCCTGGTGGCCAGTTTAGGTACAGGTTTAAAGTCACTCCCACTCTATGTAAAAATTTGGCTTTGTCTAAATTCGTTCCAATGCCCACACAGTAAAAAGATGCAAATCACGACTTTAGTCGTCAACAGCAGTAAACGAGTTAAACAAATTTGCAAACGTAAAAAGCTTAACAACACAACCGCTTTAAGCTTTTAATTTTTGTACCACAAGATATTAATATACTTACGTTTAAAACTGAAATCCTTTACTGCTTCATCCGCTATTATAATAAGAAAATTTTCTTAATCAGCCCGCAATGAATTCTTGCCTTCGACAATAAGGATAAGCCCGTCGTGTCCTCGAACATCGGGGAAAACGTGGACGGCTTTGTGGGAAGCATTTGAGTACCCTTTGAAGTCGGACAGTGTTTGTTGCTTTGCTGTGATGTAATCAGGCTTAAAATGTGAATTTGGATTGATGCATCCCCTCAGTTTGGACACAGATTTAAAACAACAGATTTGCATGAGAACTTAACTAAAACAGGACACACAGGTTACCTGAACAGGTAGTCTTTGTCTCTATGGCGACAACCAAAGAAGAGCCAGGTCTCACCGAACGCGGCCTCGGGGTTCTCCTTCCTCTCCTCCTCTCTGAAAGTCAAACAACGGAGGTGAGCAGTCAATCAATACAAAACAGACAAGCAGAGCAGACGGAGGAGAGCGAGTCCTTCCTCGCTGCAGAGGTGAAAGAAGAGAAGTGGCGTGATTATGAACCGTCTGTAGTAACGGCAAACCGAGTGCCACGTTTGCTTAAAGTGCAGAAATGACCATGCGAGCAGAAGCGAGGACATTATACTGCATGTGTTATTAAATTGCACCCAAACAGAATAGATCCCATCACTATGAGCTGCTGCTGGAAATGAAACTGTGTGTGTGTGTGTGTGTGTGTGTGTGTGTGTGTGTGTGTGTGTGTGTGTGTGTGTGTGTGTGTGTGTGTGTGTGTGTGTGTGTGTGTGTGTGTGTGTGTGTGTGTGTGTTTTTTTGACTGTTTGACTGTGTATATAAAAGAAGGGCCCCCAAAAATGAATCTTTGGAGTTTGGCATGCCACCAACTTTCCCTCGCAGGAAACCCAGAATGTCCACGAGGATGTGGTTATCTGTGCCACACACCTGCTGCCAAGGTGACAGCTCTCTTTCAGATAACGACAGAAGACCACCACCCTTTGATGACGCTATCAGTCGTCTGGAAGTCCAAAAAACCCGGATTCCTCTATTACCCTTGTTCATAAATGACCAATTATGAAAAAGGCCTGAGACCTCTCTGCTGGGCTGGTGCTCTACATATAAAGCTTGCACATCCTCTTACCTCTACTTTAAAAAAAGTAAATGAAGTCTGCTTTGTTTTCCATTTAGTCATAAGCAGACATGGCTGCCAACATCATATTGCAAAAATGCTAAATCTGGGTAATAACGCAATTTAAAATACAATCATGGTAAGCTACAACCTTTATCTGAGGTTTTTAGTACTTTCCCAAATATAACAATCTGCTCTTAAACAATAATAACAGCCGTAGTTTGGACCCGTAATACATGACAGGATTTAAAGAGACAATGTGTAGTTTTTACCTTTAGTCTCTGGAAATATCCATCGAAATGTTGTTGAAAATGAATTAAACGATGCCCAGTTGTTGGAAAAATATTGACGGCTTTGTAACATAACCATAAAAATCAGGTATAAAATGAATGGGAGCGGTTCGGAGTCTCTCAGCGACGCCATATTGGATGTAATGTTTCCTTCTACGTGGGTCTGTGTGGACAAAATTCATTTACTGATTTGTAACAAGGTTACAAAACTTTCACCATTCATAAACGTTTCACACATTTACCTCTTCACCTTCAGTGATAAAGGGAGCCTGATGTGCTCGTCTTGTGTTGGGCTCTTGGGGATTTTTGACCCTAATGGCCATCTGCTGGTAAGGTCTTACTCAAACACAAAAATATTGCTTGTTTGCAATGATTTAGGTGTGTACTGCCCCCTGTTGCCAGGGAAAATACACACCATCACTTCAAAGTTAGGCAATACACTACATGAAGTAAAAATAATACTCATTTTGTACATTTTGTCTCTTTGAAGTCAAACATCAAACTAAAGTGGAGACGAAAAAACGAAGCAGTAAACTTGTATGTTTTCTTTGTTTCAATCAGATCATCACAAAGTTGCTGTTTTTGATTCATTTCATTTTAAAATGGCTTTGAAACTAATCAAAGACATGACTTTCTTTTTCTTTGAAACAAGAAATAGGATAAAACGTATTTATTCTTTTGTCAGAACAATTAAACAATTATTTGTGATGATAAACGAAAAATCTTCTGCACATTTTGGCCTCTGGACATGTTTTCTTCCCTCCTGACATTTGCTCACAACTGGATTCATCGCACTTTTTAAAATAATGAATGGATGAATCCATTGTTAGTTGCAGCTCAACAGAAATTAGGCTCAGATAGAAACCAAATCAATGCAAAAGGATGATCGTGAATACTAAAAACAAAGCACCGCTCCTATTAATGAGGTACAACGTTAACTACATACACTTTAGTTTGAACTTGGTTCGTGAGGCTCTGTAACGAAGCTGTCTGGTAGACTGGATCTGAATGCTCAGATCCAGTCCATTAGCATCCTGGACCAGATTCTTCTGATCTGCAAAACAGCCTCGAGTAAACTCATTTTAGTGGGCTCGTCTCCCTCCTCTCGCCGCCTGCCCTAAAGGGATCAATACCAATAAGAAAAAGCAGGGTTCCATTCCGAGTCGACCACACCGGCGCCTTTCCCTGAATACAAATCACATCACGTCACATGCCCACGCTAGAGCAGCCGGCAACACAATCCCAGGGGGGAAAGGTAGCACTCCATTTGGGGTCTAAATCAGAAGCACTTGCCTTTCTGCGCCGTTCCGATGATCTGCAGCAGGGGGAATACGGCGAGCCAGGCCGAAGTAAAGACTTAGTCTACATCAAAATGATCAGATCTTTCATCTTTATCTTTGCAGCTCCTTGAGAGTAGAGCTCGGTGTTCATTTAGAACAAACAAACTAAAAAGCAACAATAACTGGAGGCTTAAAGACAGAAACGGCGCTGTGCAAATACAACAAACACCCGTCTAGGTTTTATAATCAGCTGTTTAAGGCTGATTAATAGTAGCTAAATATTTGCTCACATTAACTTTCACAGAAATTGTCATAATGAATGTGTCCAGCACAGCTACTGGCAGGTATTACTCTAATCTGATGTTTTTTGTCTCCTGGAAGACGAGGCTTTTAATTCCTGCTAAGAAGATTAAGGCTAACCTCTCATTTAAAGCACATTATTTGTTTTGCTGTTACTGCTTCGAGCAAAGCAGAAAGACCCAGAAAATTACATTTTCCATAAAATTGCAAACAACAGCGATCGATACCAGACGACTGGAGAGCCTTATTATAATCTCCTGGTCCCACCAAGTGAGCCTCTGACCTTTAGACTCTTCTCTCACTTGTTACCAGTGCTCTAAACTTGTACAAAGTACTTTTGAAAACAGGCCATTGATTAACACTGGGGGGTGGAAATGGGAGAGGTTGAAAGATCGAAGTGTCCTCGTAATGTTTTGTTTCCAAACAGTCTCATGCCCCGAGGCGGACGCAGCATCCCGTCGACAAACCGTGCGATTGTTATCTCCCGTCAGGACTGCAGCGTCAGCCAGCGAGTCTTTGTTTAGGGGTGCCCAATCCTGGTCCTGGAGGGCCGGTATCCAGCAGGTTTTGTGGTTTTTCTGCACCAACAGACTTGATTCAGTGGTTGAAACACCTGTGAGCAGCTCATCAGGCTCTGCAGAAGCTTGTTAATTAGCTGCTGATTGAAATCAGGTGCGTTGAAACGGAGTTCAAACTAAAACATGCAGGATACCGGCCCTCCAGGACCAGGACTGGGCACCCCTGGAGCCTCCAGTTAGATCGTACACAACGTCACGCTATGACAGGTTCATATAATCCTCCGGAACAAAACGCAGCTGGCAGGAGAGAGGCTGAGACAGGAAGAGGGGAGATGATGGATCGATTCACGTGACTTTATGTTGTTACGGTGAAGAGCTTCTTAAAATAAAGAAAAAAATCAATAAAGGATATTTTTCTAAATAAACGCTGGACTTGAAGTATTTGATGAAAGAATGTGTGTGCTGTGTTATGAAACAAAGCTCTCCACAATCAACTGATGGGAAAGCATTCAGCTTTAATCAAGCACTTACATGTGTTTGTCTAACATTTCACAGAGCAACATTTGGGCTCTGCTGTAGGAAATAGGAAGCAACACTGATGTGTTTGTCAAATGAAACAACGCTGCATCTCTGGATGAACCTCTGTTGTTATCGCCTGCAGCTGAATCTTTTTAAAGGAACACTTTGCAACTTTTTCATATTTTTTAAGTCATTTTCTTGAGCCAGTATGTGCTGGGTTAATGAAAGGTAACCCAGCCCTATCACCTCCTGTGGCCAGAATACCGCATTTGCAACTTCAGCCTGGCGGGCCACTCTGTTGGGAAACATGGAGCTGACATACCTGGCTCAGCAGTCTGGTTCCAGCCTGTTTTAGATCATGAACACAGCTGATTAATCTAATTTAGTGATTAATCACTCCTGCAGACACTAAGGAAGGCTGGGGAGACATTTCAGCAGTTAGAAGAAGGTGTTAAAAAGATGACCGCACAGCAAGGAGATACGTTTTGTTTTCGGTTCTGCAAACGGACACTAGGGGGTGCTAAAAGCAAGCCTAAACTGCCTAGTTTCCCTTTAAAATACCTCATAAACCAAAGGATTGTTGCTAATAAAAGTTTCTTAAAGTAATCATTAAAAGCACCTTTGCAACCAGTTAACTTTTGGAAAATGAAGATGGCCACCACAGGCCAATCAACACAAAAATGGTTAAAACTCTTAAACGTACAATTACGGACCTAAAGTTTAGTGTCACAACACAAATGCTGACTGCTAAACAATGAGGGACAAGAGTTTGTCATTAATTGTTGAAGATTAACTTTTGGGAAAATCTAATAAAAGATGGCTACCAAAGCTGCAAGGCCTAAGAAAACACAAAAGTAGGTACAAGATTAGGCAACAGAGTACCACGACATTAGCTCAAACTGTGTTATATTAAAACACTGCACCAGATAAACCATCAAAATAGTTACAGTGACCTAAATAGTTGTAACTGTTGCCCGGGTTTTCCACCAGACATGTGTTCGGTGCACAACGTCAAATGCCAACATTTACCTGCAACCTCAGCGGTGCGTCCCTTCCCTCTGGAAGTGTTTCAGATGCGCAACACCTATGAATGTGTTCAAAGCAGCAGGTCCAACAAGAGCAGGTTATTACAGGAGAATTGCAAGTTTATCTGTAATTTCGCCAATTTGCACGGTAAGAGAGAGAAAATGCAGCAGCCTGAAATTCAAAAGCTCTGTGGTTTCATTTCTGTTGTTTGCCAAAAGCAGTGCTGCCGGTGTGAAAGCTAATCCAAACGCTGGTGCGAACCAGACAAATGAACTCTGAAAAGACTGGTATCAGTTCCCGTGAAAGTAAACCCTGGTACGGTTCACTTTCAGCGGGAAAGGCAAATGGACTATCTAATGGATCA